GAATATCTGGATAAGCTTGCTTGATGGCGTCATAAAATTTGAGGTAGTTTCCTCGATACTTAGACATGGCGCACTCTTCGTTTCCAATGGCAACGATTCTGAGATCGAATGGGTCGGGATGTCCCATGGAAGCCCTTAGAGATCCCCATTTTGAATTTGCCGAACCCTTTGCAAACTCAAGTCCATCCAGAGCTTCCTGTTACACAATTCACATTCTTTAAACCACAATTCTAAATTTAGAATTTCTAAAAAGTTAACAAAAAGAAGAAACTCTCACTTGAATAAAAGGTCCGATCATAGACGTATCCACTTCGTCATTGAGGCTGAGACCTACATATATGAACCAAATATTGGATCAGAATGAAAAATTCAATGATATTTTTTATCACAAATAATGTTTTTACGTAACCAAGTATATATACCATCGTTAAAAACCCAGACAGGCAAGGCACCGATATCCTCAGAAAACTGATGGAGAAAGGAAAGAGAAAGATAAGATTTTGGATTATTAAAAAGGAAAAGAAAAAGAAAAAGGAAAAGGAGAAGAAAGAAGGTACTTGAAGGCCCTCAAAATAGCCAAAACCATCGTCGGTCCAATAACTCCAAACGTCTCCGAAGTGACCAGGTCTCTCCTCCCATGCTCCCACGCTGTCTTTCCATCTGAATGCGTTTCTCATATAACCTCCTTCAACGTAACATCCACCTGATGCAACCCACCAATACTATTATTACATATATTTCTCAATACAACACTTTCTTATCATTAACTTTGAGCTTAACCTACGTACCAGGGAATCTGAAAAATCTGGGCTTCAAAGCGGCCACCCTCTGAGCAAGGTCCTTTCGGAATCCATGACCCTGTGGGAACACAATGTTAACAAAAAACTCACAACAAAAGTATTGCATTGCATTCATGAGCGTCATGCATACTTACCTTGAACGTGTCTAGTGGCATAGCTGAAACTTGATCTAACCATAAAACTCCTTTCTTGCTTGTCGTTATTTGGAGACTTGCATTGTGGTTAGTGGCCTTCGCTTCCAGTACGGTCTCCATCCTCGTCCACTCTGTAACATTGTGACCCAAAGACGTAATGCTGTTTGATGCCAACTCGGTATTATCGGATCCAACAAACGAGACGCGAAGATCAACCACACCACTTGCTTTGGCAAAGAACACTACTTTATACTTGTGTGCTTTCTCAATATTCTGATGGAACACGAGAGACATTAATTATAGATATGAGAAACATTTAAAAAAAAAAAAGAGTTGTGAGAGATGAGAAGGCACTGACCATGCCCCAGAAACCAGGATTGGAGATGCCAACACCATCAGGTGGGCAAGATTTGGGTCCATCACAGAGAACATCCATACGCAATGCAACTTTGTTTCGATCGAAGCAAGAGCTACGATCGGTTGAGATCTGTATGGTTGAATCATCTCCCACCATTGCCCATGGAAATATATTTGAGGGAACGCTTGAGCCTCCTTCTTCGAAACCTCGGTTTCGAACAAGCTCGGCCCACAATCCCCCAGCTCCTGCATGGTTGATTTCCTCAAAAAATGCTCCGAAGAAGGTATCTGGAATTTTTCTCCCAGCTCCTTCCGTGACATTTATGTGCAAAGTTGACCTTTGCTTTGCAAAACAGCATAGTGTGAAGCAGCTCAAGAAAATAAGAAAGATCTTCATAGTCATTTTTTCTCTGATTCTTCGTTCCAAATGGCTTATGTTGGTGCTTCCATGCTGTATTTATAGAGTAAGAGTCTACCAGAACTCATCTTCAACTTATTCAGTTTAAATTCTCTGATAAGCCACTCATTCGGTTGAAATTCTTCATTTGTATTTTCTTAAATTGAAGTAAAACAGTTTAAATTTTCTGGAGATTTATAAATATATCATCGTACTATATATCATTTGATGTAACTAGTCAAGTAAAAATATACTGTTATTCTATATTTAAAAAATTAAAAAAATTAAAAAATTAAAAAATTAAAAAAATCATTAAATAAAAAATAAAAATAGTGATAATGATTTTTGTTCTTAACTTCAGATTAATTATATGAATATTAATATTGTTATAA